GGAGACCACCGCAATGCTTAAATTCCAGCAGTACCTCAATGCACACTCTGGCTCTCATCAACCTGCGCCTAATAGTTTCCGGAATAATGTAAGCAGGGTGTGTCCTGCATAGAGAGTGTGTATTCCATTCCAGACTCATGGAAATTTCCATGGGTACATATGTGGAACTCTTAAGCATGGCAACGGGTTTCCACATGTCACACCCGGCTGATCAAAAACTTGCTACTTCCAGATCAGTTGTATCAGCCTGGCTTAGTGATGACAATCTTGCTTCTGAGTCAGAAAGTTGTGGGTTCCAGCCCCACCTTGAAATTTGGGATCACACTGTCTAAGCTGACACTCTAATATAGTACTGGGGATGTGCTACACTGTCGGATTTGCTGTCCTCCAGATGAAACATTAAACCAAGGTCCTGTTTGTTCAGGTAGATGTTAAAGATCGCATGGCACTATTCGAAGATAAAGATGTTTCTCCCAGTGTCCTGGCCAACAAACCCACCAAATAAAATTGGTCACTCAACTCCAGGGCTGTTTGTGGGACACTGTTGTGCGCCAATTGGCTGCCACATTCACTCACAAAATACACATTCCCTTTAACGTATATCTTGTAAAGCACTTTGAGACATCTCAAAAACATGATAATGCACTATATCAAAGGCAAGCATTATATCATTATAAAGCACTTTGAGATTCTATCCTGAGTTAAAGGCACATGGCAAGTTCAGTTTGTTATAAAATAAATCATGTCATGTAACTGCAAATAAAACTATGTTGCATTTATTAATTAAAATTTTAATTCAATATTATTCGGTTTGATCAGAGTGATTGTCACATACACCCTGATTATCATAGGGAATGCATTAAAAAATCCCACTGTAATTTGAGGGTGTCTGCAACATTCCTTTCACAATGGCACATGTTAGATTTATTTTCAAAAAAAAATCTTGGCACACAGATTCTCATTTCCTTTCCACCCCCATATCTCCTGCAAGGACTCTTGGCACCTACCAATCCCTTCTTTCCTGCTGACTTCTATGGTAACCAGCTGGGACTGAGCTTTCTTCTCTTAGTCATCTCTCACAGGTTTTCCTACCAGCCTACTCATGGAATTATTCATTATACATATTGAAATTCACCACATTATACTTTTTATGTCCAAGCCTGTAGTGCTACAGAACACAAGACTAAAGATGTATAAAAAATCATTGTTGGCTAATGTGCCTTACTTAGAACTTCAGCAGCTGTAAAGACTTACTCACTTCTTTCCAACCAACTACCTGAAAAGATCTGGCACATTACAATAGTGGCAACATCTGTTAACAGTTATTGGAGATAAAAGGAAAAAACAAGAAAACTGGAAATGTAACATGAAAGGTGAAAATCCTCAGCACACCAAATCAGCATCTAAAAGGGGAGATGCGAAACATTGGGCAAGTCTACTTACTCAACACACCTCGGTTCACCAAGCGGATTGCTTTTTTCAGGGGGTAACAATCCCTTAAAAAAGAATTGGTCACTCAATCCACGACACTTTGTGGGAAACTGTTGTGCACAATTGGCTGCCACGTTTCACACGCAAAATAATAATAATAATCCTTGCATTTGATGTAGCGCTTTTTACGTAGCGCTTTTTACGTCTTCTAGACGTCTCAAAGTGCTTCACAGATTAGACTGTAAAGTGAATTGAGCGCATATTTGGGGGCGAAACACGGCAGCCAATTGCGCACAGCAGTGTCCCACAAACAGTCGTGGATTTTTAATCCTTTCATAATGAATGCGAACGGTATGTTAGCATTCATTATGAAAGGATTAGAGTATGAGAGTAGGGAAGTCTTGCTGCAACTGTATAGGGCCCTATTGAGACCACACCTGGAATACCAATAAACGTCTCTTCCATCCACCTTCCCATACCTCGCCCATCCTCTCCCCAAACTCCAACTGTGAGGAGATGCTGGACTTCCTCGAATCTAAAATCGAGGGTATACATTCAGCCACCTCAGCCCTGTCAACAGCCACCCCCACATCACCTCACCCTATATACAGTCAACTCACTTTACATTATATTCTGTAAAGCACTTTGAGATGTCTTCAAGACATGATATCAAATGCAAGGATTATTATTGTATTACCAATTAAAATCAGAACTGGACATGTCTATTTATAGTAATGATGATGTCGTATGGACTCATGCTAACCAAAAATATACCTGGCTTCCAGCACTGACCAGTCAGCTTGCTCGCTTAAAAAATGGTGGTCTTCTGGCTTGTCAAATCACCACTAACTTCACTTTCTGCATATTCCCTGAGGAGATGATTTCAGCAGCTCTGAGTTATTGGTCCCAGAGAACTACCTTATAATGAGGTTCCCTGTACCGTGCCTTTTTGCCAAATATTGGCATCTGTTCCTATGTGATATTAGCAATATGGCACCAGGTTTCTGATAATTATTGGTAATTGTTTCAGAAAAACAGTTTATGGGTATGAATGCCCTTTTTGGCAAGTTTCTGAAAAGAAATAAATGAGGTAGAAATGTGTTCATAAAACACTGCCACATAAAAGTATTCCTGGAGATGATTATGGAAGCTATTCAAAAAAGCAGTTAAAATTTCACAAGAAGTCACACCAGACGCAAATACAGAATCACTAAGTTACTTGTATCCAATTTTCAGGATCATGTGCTACCACACAATTTGTATCACCTTGTTGGCACAAATTATCAGTGCCATTTTTATTCCCAAAAAAGTCTGTTTTGATAAAATCCTGCATAATCGCAAAGGTAAAATGTGCATCGACCTATTTCTACCTTTATCATACCTTGATGCTATATTTCATACTTTAAAATCCTGCTCCGAAGCAGACAATTGGCAACACCATGTAGGCTTATAGCATGAATAATATAAATAAGAGTGCTGTTCTATCCATTCATTGCAATGGAGGCACAATGGGGGGAAGATGGCAGGAGAAATTCTATTCAAAATTTCAACTACATCTGATTAAAGAACACCACCTAGGATTTTATGACGATTCAATAGAACAAATTACCTCTTTAAAATATTAACCTCTGCTAGTGCCAAGTTTTTGCACACACTTCCTATGAATTTTGGGCAACACTGTAGTATTAATTTGCTGGTGAAAACTATTGGATTCCCAACTGATTAAAACATTTTTCAACTCAACAGATTGGAAAGGCATAATTTATTTTTGTAATTTCCCCAAAATGTCTCAACAATGCTGTCTTTTGGAAGCACAACATGAAGACCAGATATTTTTTTTGGGTAGAGAGAGGGATAGAATAGCTGTGGGACATGGAACAAATGATACAAAATAATGACGAAAGCTTCTCTCTACCATTTCACCTCTTTTACAAAATTCAGACTTCCTGAAGAATCAAAAGGATCTTTTGATTGTGGCAAGCATCCTTCTCAAACATCTTAAAGCAATTTTTTTTTAAATCTCATCATTGTCTCCCAATCATATTCAGAATAGCCTGCAATTACCACATCTGATGGTCAGTTAAAGTTTTCTTCATGGCAGAAATTGACATGGGTGGACTGAGTTTGGATATGCATCCTCTTGGGTCCTGTACGCATGAAATCGGCAAGCCAGCATGCCTGCACATTCTCTGATTAAAGCCTTCCATTAATACATCTACACTGCAGCCACAACATATCCCTCCTCTTTGCTTCATTGCTATGGTCAGGCGATATTCTTCTTCTCCCTGACAACACAGCTAGAGGGTGGTTAGAAGGTCCCTCAAATTTCCTAGACCAGGGAGGAAAGTCAGTGAAAAAGGATGTAATGATCAACAGTGCTGATAGCTGTAGAGGTTAATAAGAACAAGGAGTCATGAAGGCAGACTGAAAGGATATCTATCTGTACTTGTGCTATGATCAGTGATCATGCTCCATTACTGCATGGGTTGAGATTTTATGGACCACCAACTGCTGCATAACAACTGGGCTCTGCTATATATAGATCCCTTATTTGTTGTCCTTGCTGTCTGTAAAATGGCTGCCATATTTGCTTAAATAAAACTTACCAGGACCATTTCATCATGCTGCTCATTCTATTTCTTTGATCAAATAGGATTACATTTATCTACCTACAGTTAACTAATTCCAGGCATATATGGTGAATTTAATCTATGTTTAGGATTTCAAGTAAATGATCTAGTAACTTCCACTATACATCAGATCTCCTTTTAGTTTATCTCTGCAAAATGGATTTACAATTGAGGTGGTTACTATTTACAGGTATTGTATTTCCCTAAAATAAAAAGGGGATTAGGATATATTTTTGAACTGCAATGATTTTAAAGAAAGATATCCTATATATTCTTTAATGAAACAAGATTGTTTGCATGTACGTGTTGAAGAGGAGGAAGTAATGATATTCAGCCACTAAAACTGTACCAAGTTTAAATAAACTTGAACAGATTGCCTTTAAATTGCAGCACAGATATCGTTATAAAATTGTTGCAATGTGGATCCTACTCATTTTTCACGTGCACAACCGGTCTGCCAGCTTCCCACCCCTAACGCTTGTGTTAAATTGGCCGAATTCCATATGATCAGGTTGCTGCCCTCACTTCCTGCTTTGTGAATACATATCACACAGGAGGTGACAGTGGTGGTGACTGGATGACCCGGAAGTTAGCTTTTACTTAATGGGAGAAGGCAACCAACTCACTCTCTGTGCCGGCCATCTGTGCCCGTGCACATTGAAACTGGATAGTGCACATTGTTATATTGCTGTTTGGGATTTTATGGAACCTAACCACTGCATTGCAATGGAGTGCCACTGTACGTATATTTGTGACATCTTGGAGATAAAAAAAATATTCTGGACCAACTTTCCTGTTATTTTCAATACAGCAAATCATTGTGCACCAGCTAAGTTCATATCTAGGATGTGTTACTAACACTATAATAGGTCTATAATATGAATTATATGTATACCAATTTAAATGGCAAAAGTCATCCTCCATTGTTGCGGTGCTTACCTTAAAAATTCCAACCCAGTCCTTGTGGTGTGGTTTGATGCAAGGAGTCAGAATATAGTGGCACTCAAGAGGAGCGTGAGGGATGTAACTTTTTGCCACATTTTGAAAGATCACGTGTGCAAAATTTGATGCTTGCATTGTGCTGCTTGATGGCAATAAGACGTGAACTAAATCCATTCTTCAGCACGATTTCTGTGAAATCAAAAGAATGTGAAATTACTTAAAATTCACTCAGTACATGGCATCATTATTAAACTATAATGCAGCAACTAAACACAATATCTTTTAATTACATTTTTATTTCAGAGAATAAACATCAATAAGAATATTTGAAATTCTAGAGAAAAAAAAACAAGGTCCATCCAGTTTACCTTCTACCATCCTGGCAGTCGCATACACGTGTCATGTCCTGAACTACTCATGTTCCATATCCCAAAATATTATTGCCTGAAAGAAATCTATCTAATTTGCATTTGAAAGAATCAACACTTTCTGCTGTCGCCCTAGGGAGCCTGTTCCATAGATTTACCACTCACTCACTGAAATAATGTTGCCACAGATTTGTTTTGAATTTACCCCCCTTTAAACGCAGGCCAGGTTCTCCGATTCTACTGTTCTGAACAAGATGAAACAGCTTGTCATGATCAACATTATCTAATTCCTTTAGAATCTTAAAAACAGCAATCATATCACCTCTCAAGCTTCTCTTTTCCAGGATGAACATTTCGTATTTACTCAAGTCGCTCCTCATAATCCAGTCCCTTCATCCCCTCAATCATTCCGATTGCCCTCTTTTATTTCCTCTCAATTGCTGCAATATCATTTTTGTACTGCGGCATTCAACACTGTACACAGTATTCCAAGCACAGTCGCACAAATAAAATGTAACACAGTTTACTGAATGTAACAATATTTTACAACAAACGCAATATAATTTTATAACAAATACCAGCATACATTTCCTTTTATTAAAAAAAATACTGAATTTCAGAGTAGTTCAATACTGTGCTTGTTTAGCACCACAAGAATAGGCAACATTGAAAGGAATTAAACAACTCAAAGGAGATCCTCGAGGGAACAGCAAGCAAATCTCTAGTTACAATGATTTCAGCATCCCCTCTGGACTTTGATGCTAATGTATAACTATTGAACTTCCATTTGAAACCAACAGACATATATGAAATTTTTTATCTCAAATGCTAAAGACACGTAGCACAAAATTACACAAAATGATATGACACAGAAACAGGCCATTTGGATCAACTCGTCTTTCCTGATGTTTATATAGTACTCTACATGAGCCTCCACCTCTCCTGTTCTTCTCTTTTACCCTCTATTCCCTTCTCCCTTGTGTATGCCTCAAATTTTCCTCTTCAATACAATGTTAGTTTTTGCTTTTACCAAAGCTTCCAGCAATGAGTTCTGCATTCTCACCATTATCTGTGTAAACAAGTTGCTCCTAAATATTTTAGATCCACTACTAGCCAACTTAAAGTTGGGCTCTCTCGTTTTGGCCTCACAAACTAGTGGAAACTGCCTATTAATGTACACCTGCCATCCAATGAGAATTCAAACCTGCACTTGTCAGATATCAAATAACCAACGAGTAACTATCCCTTGAGAAGGGCAGAGGGAAAAGATGTGAGCAGCTTCTTTTTGCTGAACTGGCTCCAAGGTGACATATAGCAACAACGGAGTGTCAGAATTGAATATATCCTTTGTGGCGATCTCGGTAGTCCGATTCTTGAGCCATGCAGTTCCGCAGTACTCCAAGGCACTGCTGACAAACCAGCCAGTCTGGCTCACTGGAGGACATAGATCGGCAGACCAGTTACTGGGGGCAGGGATTCTTCCCATTCAGCTCACTGCAAGTCAAAGCCCTAAAGGGTGTGGTGGTCCTAGCTGGACAAGCAACAGGAGGCGTGCTTTCATTGGAAAGCTATGTGTTTTTAGATGGTTAAACGCCAGCAGTACACCAATGCATCTCTGGAGTCCCCAAACTTGGCTCTTGCCTAGCTACTCTACGGAATTAAGGAATGCAGTAAGTTAAGTAAAATTGTCCACCTTCATTTAATCCTTTCATAATTTTAAACACCTCTATCAAGTCCTCTCTCAATCATCTCTCTCTAGAGACCAAAGCTCCAACCTGACCAATCTTTCTTGATAACTTTATCCACTCATTACCTGGTAATATCCTAATGCGGTACTCTCTCCAATGCTACAATATCCTTCCTGAAATTGTCCCTATCAAATCTATTATCTTGGTTAGTATTAAGTATATTACTTCCCTGATGACCCAGTTGGTAAAATTACCAAACAGAGTGAAGTAAGCCATATAGTGTATTCCCAAAAATACACTCAAGAAGGGCTGACGGTCAGTCCGAGTCTCTGCAGTTTTAGTTCTCAACCTAGTTAACAAAGGGAGCCCTGCACTTTGCTTTAACAGTACAAGACTAGGGAGAGAGAAAATCACCTAGAATTCCAATTTCTGATCACTATTCAATAAGCCTTGCTGAAAAATGCACGTTGTATGGATGCCACTTTAAACAAAGACTGGGCTCAGCTTTGATATCCCATCCCATTGGATAAAAGCCTGGCATAACACACCTTGGACTCCACTTCAAAGAGATACTAAAGGGTATCCAATACCCATGTTATGACATTATGTCAGCATTTTTAGAAGAAAAAGGAAATAGTTCTTTTTTTAAAAAAATTACGGTAAATGAGATCAGTTTGTTTCCACACCAGCAACTGATGTTAAGCTGAAGCTACACTGTAACATGAAAAACACTACCACAAAATGACAAAATATCCACCATTGCTAAGGCTTTACATTACAGATGCTAATCAGACTTTTAATGCTCAGGTAATTCACAGCACTCAAAGGGGAGCCTGACAAAAGTAATTTTTTAATCACTTTTTGAAAATAATAATAATAATAATCCTTGCATTTGATATAGCGCTTTTCACGTCAGGAGGACATCCCAAAGCACTGCACAGAACACACTGTAAAGTGAATTGACTGTATATTTGTGGGCCTACGCGGCAGCCAATTGCGCACAGCAATGTCCCACAAACAGTCGTAGCTTGAAAATGACTAATTTATTATTGTTTTGGATTTTTGGAGGGATTATTATTAGGCTCTGTGTGGAGTAAGGAAACTTGCCCAAGGTTTCGCCCTGACTGGAATTGAACTCAGGTCTCTCGCTTGCAAAGCGAGTGCTCTAACCACTGAGCTACAGGACTCCACACAGGTACAAAAAAAATTCACATGTACAAAACAAATTATAAATTATTTTCTGAAAACATGACTTAACCCAGAAGTGATGGATGTGTAGCTGTTGTAACATTTGTGTTTTAAATTGTGTTCTCTTCAAATATTTATTCAATTCACTTTTAAAGACTATAGATTGGCAGATTGCTTTCCAATCCCTCCAAAAAAAATCGGCCTCTCAATCCATGATTGTGGGACACCGCTGTGATTGTTGAGCCAAATTGGTTCGCCCACAAACATACAATCACTCCAGTTTAAAGTATATCCTGAGAAGCATTTTGCAACGTCTCAATTACATAAGGCGCTATATCAAATTCAAGGATTATTATTATTATAATGACTCAGGAAATAATTTATGTTAAAAACTATTTAATTGACTTTTCATGATCTTTCATAAAAAGGCAGATTTGTTTAAAATATCGCCCCACTCCTTATGGCAATTACTCATCCTCTAGCAAGTTGTGTCTAGACAGTGAGTGTTGGCTATTTAATTAATTGTGGCATTCATAGACCCACTATTTCCAGCAGACAAATAAGCATCAGGAGTAGGAGCCCTGACTGTTTTTAAATGGAACAAGACTCATTTTTCCTTCTTTAGACCAGGAATACTGAGGCCAACTGCAGCACCCCTGTTGAGACCATCTAACAGCACAGACCACAGAAAACACCTGGACCGTTGCCAATCGGCATGGTTTAGTTCTGCAATGGGAGGTGCACTGAATTCATTAAATCATTGGGGTGCCTTGATCCTAAATTTTTCAATTAATTTTAAAGAAAAGGTTACGCTTTCAAAGAACCCCAACAAACCAGTAATGAAGTGGATTGTGAAACAGTTTCATTAAATGTAGATATTTTAATAGTTAAATTCTTAATTATAAGTATACATGAATCAAGATGACAACAAATATTGTTGTACCATAAGGTCAATTTAACTTTAAAATGAATACTTATAATCTGAAAATAGCATTGTATTTATGCCAATTTTTTGGTTGCTGCAGGGTGAATGTATTTAATGGTTTCAAAACAAATAAATGCTCATTGAGTTATACACGATTACTGTAGTTATTTGGCATACAAAGTGCTACTAAAAATCATGGAGGCAAAAGATTAGTGATGGTAATGATGAATAGTAGCAACCAACATTTGTACTTAATCATACAGAGTATTACCAAAATGAAAATAGTCTGCAAAGTAAACTATGGGTCATCCAGTACGGATTTGGAGGAAGTCATAGTATAGGCATTTACTGAAACAAGCAATTCTCCCTGCAAGAGCTGATAACATGTGCAAAACATACTGACACCTTATCTTTTAAGAACAAAGCAGTGGATAAAGTATGCATACATGTTGATTTGTAAGTTTACACTAATGAGCAATCTTTTGGATATGACATTCAAACAGACTGTGCTCCCTTCCCTGACGTCATTTAGCTGGTTATCTTAGTAAACCCTGCCCATCAGTTTATTCCGCCATGTAAAAAAAGTCATAGCTATGAAATATTTCATACCACTGGTGATCATCATTAAAATATTCAGCGATCATTTTGTGTCACATTTTTAGAAGATTTAAATATTGAAAATAATTTGTGCTTTTGTGTAGTGTATATTTCAATACAGCAAACTCCCTGCTAGCCTCAAGTATCGTGAATTTGCTAGATCAGTTCCAAGAAAAAATTCCGCGATTCAAAAGTTTTCAAACTCTCTCCAGCCCACATGATGCCCACATTTTGGACACTGATTAGTTTAGCCGAGGGCATCAACAGAGGTACACTGTGTCAGTGGTGAGAAGAGATTTATTTTTATTTTTGGGGTTTGGTCTATTTTATTCATTTAAAAATTCATTTTTATTCATTTTAATTGTTAAGGAGGATTTATTTTTACTTATTTTATTTATTTTAAATGTTATGGATTAAAATTAGCAGTTAGCCAGAAAATCTGGTTTGCTGGACCAGATCTCGCCCCCTATTTTAGTATGGTTCACCAGGGATTTAGTGCATACAACATAACATGCAGGAGTAGGCCATTCGGCTCTTCGAGCCTGCCCCGCCATTCAATCATGGCTGATCTTCTAATCTAATTCAAGCTAATACCATAACCCCGCCTTATCCCCATATCCCTTAATCCCTTTTGCAATAAGGAATATATCTATTTCTAAATATCTATTTCTAAATGTATATTAGTTGCAGATAACTATACCATATTACAAATGTAGTTTACATGTTGTGAAATGAACTTTTAACAGTTAACATGAAGGATTGAGTGCTTAATTCCTATCTGCAAAGTACTATATCAAATTAAGATGTTAGTTACATAGGGCAGTAATTTCTTTCAGCTAATATCTTTAAGCTCATATAATATTAGGAAACACAAAAATTAAACTTCAGTCTCAGTGACATTGCAAAAGCAATTAACCCTTCCAGATGTTATATTATTGAGTTTGGAATTGGTGGCAACAGAATAGCTAATACTGTAATTCTATCAACAATAATTTGGGTTGAAGTTCCAATGTAGCTGGTCTGGAGATTTGCCTGAGAATCCTGGCTACCTACAACATGAACTCAATTTTCACCCAATGATTGGGTAGCTCTTGGACCAAATGGCCTCCTTTTGTGCTATAATATTCTATGATTCTATATTATAAATAAAGAATTCTGCTTCATTAACCATATTATACATATTTCATTAAATTTTCAGTACTTTGCACCTAAAGCTAGTTCAGTAGCACATAATCTCTGATCTGTAAAATCACAGCCCTCGATATTATCCAGTTCATATCACCATAATATCAACATGTACCACAAATAAATACTTAGGAGTATCCAAACCAAGCTGAGATTTCCATGCATCCTAACTACACATGGAAATCCCAAAGATAGATTGTTGAAATGAAATACACACTCTCCCTGGAGGGATGCATCCTGCTTACCTAATTCCAGAAAGTATTAGGCGCAGGTTAGCAACAGCCAAGGCCTAGGGAACCCAGAGTGTGCATTGGGGTACTGCTGGAGTCTAACCAGCTAAAACCGCATAGCTTGCCATTGATATTGCAAGCTTTCCCGCTGCTTGTTCAGTTAGGACCACCATACTGGTTAGGGGTTTGGCTTACATGGTTAACAGGAGCTGATTGAGATGACTCCCTGCCCCCAATGTCTGATTTGTCCTTTCTGGTCCTGCCGATGAGCCAGGCTGGCTGTGCTATCATCAGCAGTGTCCTGGAATACTGCGGACCCACCTGGCGCAGGAACCAAACTACTGAGACCGCCACAGAGGGCTGGGTCGATTCAAACATTGCCATGTCTGTTATCTTGGAGCCAGTTCAGCTCTAAGGAGACCCCGCTTACCTCCACCCTCCCATCCCCCAAAGAGGACAGTCACCCAAGGAGGATAGTCAAAGAGATATTAAAACTATATTCATGTCACAGAACAGATGAATTTCAAGATTCTCACACTCATCTACACCTAGTGCATAACTCAATAAGCAGTAGTTTATTTTGAAAACATTAAATACATTCATCCTGCAGCAACCAAAACACTGGCAGAAATACAATGCTATTTTCAGATTATAGTCACTCATGCCCCAGCATCTCCGTACCTCTCCAATCTGTCAACACCCCAAATCTACTCATTCTTCGCTCAGCTGGCTCAGGCTTCTTGTCCCCTGACCCCCTCCACTCCACCTTAGGCAACCATGCCTTCAGCCATGATGACCCAAACCTCTGGAACTCACTGGCTTAATTCCTCTTGCCCTCTCTTTACCCATCTTCAAATGGCACCTGTTGGCTTTCCTCTTCAATTGTGCCTCTGATCACCTCACCTGTCTCCTCAAATCAACAACAAGATTACATTTGTATAGCACCTTTCATGTCAGGAGGACGTCCCAAGGCGCTGGACAGTGTACAGCATTTCAGACCCAAGCTGGGGTCGGGGGGAGGGGGGGGAGAATGGAGGAGAGGGAAAGGGGGGTGGCCGATGGCATGGTCGAAGAGGAGGGTCTTGAGGCGGGACCTGAAGGAGGCTAAGGAGGGGGCGAGGCGGAGTGACTGGTGGATGGAATTCCAGAGGTTGGGGGCAAAGTGGCTGAAGGCTCTCCCGCCAATGGTGGGGCGGGTGGGTTGGGGGACGTGGAGCAGGCCAGAGCCGGCTGAGCAGAGGGAACAGGCGGGTTGGTAGGGGGTTAGGAGGTCGCAGGGTTAGGGTGGGGCGAGGCCATGGAGGGCTTTGTAGGTGAGGACCAGGATCTTGAACTGGATCCTCTGAAGGATAGGGAACCAATGGACTCAGACGAGAGAGGGGGAGATGGGGTCATGGAGTTTGGTGCGGGAGAGGACACGGGCTGCAGAGTTCAGGATTATCTGCAGCCTGTGGAGGGAGGAGTTGGGAAGGCCGACAAGCAGGGAGTTTGCATAGTCGAGCCTGGAGGTGATGAAGGTATGAACAAGAGTTTCAGTGGCCTGAGGGGTGAGGTAGTGGTGGAGTCGGGCAATATTACGGAGGTGAGGGAAGGCATAGCAGGTCATGGCTTGGATGTGGGGAAGAAAAGCCAGTTGAGGGTTGAACAAGACACCCAGGTTCCTGACTGGCTGGTGAGTTGTAGTGAGCAACCATGGAGGTTGATGTTGCCAGAGCCTGAGGTGCTGAGGCGCTGGCGCGAGGCAATCAGGAGGGCCTCAGTCTTGTTCACATTCAACTGTAGGAAATTTGCCCTCATCCAGGACTTGATGTTTGACAGGAAGTCTGTCAGGACAGCAGTGGTCCTGGAGTTGAGGGTGGAGGCAGAAAGATAGAGTTAGAGGCAGAAAGATAAGATTTGGGTGTCATCTGCATACATGTGGAAGTTGACCCCATGTCTGCGGATGATGTCACCAAGATATTAATATCATGTAGATATTAAAGAGAGGGCCAAGGACAGAGCCCTGGTGGACGCCAGACATGACAGTGCGGGGGCTGGATCAAATCAGCATCAAACTCAGCCACTGTTCAGCACTCTGAGACATGACACTACATGAGGATGCTTTATTAATGGAATTTGTTCTTGTTCTATATATGACTAAACTTCAACAACAACAATTTGCATTCATGGAAATGAAGTGTCCTTCATTTTAGTAGCATCTCAGATCCCTTAATAGGATTTTGCAGCAGAATTATGATTTGAAATCTAAGTTACTGCTGTCCTCTTCCGCACCAGGCTCCATGACCCTATCACCCCCATCTTCAACCGACTCCACTGGCTTCCCATTACCCAGAGAATGCAGTTCAAGACCCTGGTCCACATCTTCAAAGGCATCCATGGACTTGCTTCCCCCTACCACTGCGATCTCCTAACCTTCTACCAACCCACCCATTCCCTCCACTCAGCGGGCTCCAGCCTACTTCACATCCCCAGCCTCTCCTGCCCCACCATTGGCGGGGAAGCATTCAACCACCATGCCCCCACCCTCTGGAACTCCATCCCGCAGTCCTTCCACCTCGCCCCCTTTAAGACCCATCTCAAAATCCTCCTCTTTGACCGTGCTTTCGATCACCATGCTTCCCCCCCCTGCCCTCCACCCTCCCCGGTCCCCAGCTCAGGTCCAAAACACTGATTGTCCAGTGCCTTGGGACTTCCTCCCGACGTGAAACGCGCTAAACAAATGTAACTTTGTTGTTGTTGTTGGCGGGTGGTGGCGTTGGGAGTTCCAGTCCCGCGAGCCGGAATTTCCAGCTAAGTGTAATTGCAATGCCAGTGCCAGCATTTTGCGTCAGCGGCACTTTTTCAGTGTGTGTGTGTGTAAAAAAAACCGCCTGGACCGGCATTGTGATTGCCTGAATCCTGTGAGCAGAAGATAACGGATAAGCTTCAAATTGAATGGAAGTCGATATCGCTGCCAACTGTCCAGGGCCTTGGGACGTCCGTCCCCCCCCCCCCCGGCGCGAAAGGCGTTACACACCAATGCAATTTGCTGTTGTGAACCGGTGAGAGGGTCTACACACCGGGATTATGTCTTTTTTAATTTCGGTTTCAGGTCCGGCCGGTCCGCGAGGTACAAATTCCACATCCCTGGGAGTCGGGTAACAGCGGGGGGGGGGGGGGGGGGGGGGGGGGGGGGGGGGGCGGAGTCACTGTAATAATAATCGGTACATTTGCTATAGCGCCCCTCGCGTCGGGAGGACGTCCCAAAGCGCTTCACGGGACACACTCGTCAATAAAAGTGCGGCGTTTATGTTAATCACCACCACGACAGACGGACCCGCGCAGCCCCTCCCCGGGCACAGGCCCGAGGGCGCCGCTCGGTCCCTCTGGTCGCGGTCCCAGCTCCCGGCGCACTTTACCGAGCGGGGTCTACAGCTCGGGCCCGTCAGCCCGGGGTCACAAGCCCAGCGGGTGGCGGGAGGACGACGCCACTGTTTACATCTCCTCCCGGTCTCCGTGCCTCCGGGAAGCGGCCGGCGGCCATTGACGCGCCAGTGAGCGGCTCCCCGGCGGTTGGCGGTTGGCGGCGGCGCGCGCGTTTGCTCTCTCTCACCCGCCGGTGCCCGGTCCCTCGGCCGCTCGCGGTGTCGGCGCTGCCGCTGCTTCCCCCTCCCCCTCGCGCCGCTTGTGACGACACACAACAAGGGCCTGAAACCACTTCCGGTGTCAGGGCGCAGGCGGCGACACAGCTTGAGGTGCCGGGGGGGGCGGGGCGTGGGGGGGGGGGATGGTCAGAGAGGTTACAGCCTGCCTGTGCCTGCAGGGGGCGCCCTGTGCAGCTTTACAATAATAATAATAATAATAATCCTTGCATTTTATATAGCGCTTTTCACGTCGGGAGGACGTCCCAAAGCGCTTCACAGAACACACTGTAAAGTGAATTGACTGTATATTTGTGGGCGAACGCGGCAGCCAATTGCGCACAGCGATGTCCCACAAACAGTCGTAGATTGAAAATGACCAATTTATTGTTGTTTTTGGTTTTGGAGGGATTATTATTAGGCTCTGTGTGGAGTAAGGAAACTTGCCCAAGGTTTCGCCCTCTGCCTGGAATTGAACTCAGGTCTCTCACTTGCAAAGCGAGTGCTCTAACCACTGAGCTTCAGCACGTCCACCTGAACAGACACGTGGGACTTCAGTTTAAAGTCTCATCTGAAGGATGGCACCTACAACATTTTAGGCTTAGACCAATCAAATGCCCGACTGGTATCAACTCACTACTTAACTATGACAGTACTATCAACTGACCCGGGTTGACACCCTGTATTTTTGTTCTGAAATGGACATCAGTCCGCATTGGGATATTCATTTTGTTTCTGATTAATTTCATTCTGTCCTGTGCTTGTAGATGTTTCTTTTTACATTAAAGACTCTAATGGGAGCTTTTTTTTTGGTTCTGTGAGTTCTTCCTTTGTATAGGTTCAGTGAGATGCCGAAAGAGTCTCCCACATTCTGCAGTAGTATTTAAATTTGAAGAAGGGCTTTAATTTTTACAGTGCCTCATCACATATAAGCACCTTCAAGTGTTTTAGGGTAACTAGTGTCAAGTGTTGTAGGCAAAAACAGCAGTTGTTTGTCCGAGTAAGGTCCCTCAAACTATAAGCCTAGACTATGACCACATTTGCAGAAATCTCCAACCTAAGTTCTGGTCCCTACTTTAAGAGTCAAAGTTGGCAGAAAACTCAACCATCTGAATTATTGGCTATGGGTGTCTAGACTTAGAATTGACAGACTGCCAAACATATGTCTAACAGGCAATACTGCACACAAATACTATTTTTCCATGGTAGAACTTTGTTCTCAAGAAATCTTTTAATGAGGTTTGGGCGAAGGATATATGGGGGGGTGGAAACAGGTGTAGCAACCCTCCATTCGGTGTATATCATAAATAAGGAACTTGCTTGTTAAAAGAATGTAACAAAATAAGCCCACAAATTTATCAATCGTGGGCATGATCCAATTTTACTAAATTTAAAAAAAAAGATCTTACTCTTTATTTTAGAAGTGTCTTTCGCACAAATGAAGGCAGCCTAATATTTATATTACTATAATTATCAAGCAAAAGCATCAAAAGTGTTAGGTTTCTAAGCTCATCTCCTGATATGTTGTTATATTTATTTTTTTGGAAGATCTTACAAGAGCTCCTTAATTATAAATTGTGGAGTCATTTATACCCTCCTCGCAAAAGCGCTAAAACTTTATTACATCCTCTTACAAGAATATGATTCTGTCTTTCTAGACATTATTTTAGGTTGTCTTCCCGAAGGGTTATTTTTTAAAACAAAAATTTTCCTTCTAATTGGTTACCATAACAATTTCCACTACAAACTGTTTTATTTTAGTAGCTGGCAGTTGCTGAGTGGCAATATTCCAATTGATCATTCACTCTTTAACAGGAAAATTGCTCTGGGTATTTGGGTACAGAAAATAAAGGGGCAATTTGTAGACAAAAACAAATCCTGGCAAACAATACTCCATGATTTGACAAGGAGCTGCATACAAGTTTCCCTGCACAGCACCTCCAAATCTTTACATCCATTTTATCTCTCTATAAAATGGTCCCTTAGAAATGAATCAGCTACACGACATTGTTTGGCAGATGTGAAAGTATATTTTCAAAAAACATGCTAATTTTACTGACCATTATTAATATGGTGTGAAATAAATGAAAATGTCTTTCTAGATTTCTTTTTGCATTAGTCTTATTCATTGTGACATTATAATCTTTATTTGGGATTTGACTTTATCTCCTTTTGTGTGTTCAGTTTTCTCATTAGGATCACATTTTATTGGTGAGATGAGTGTTTGACACATGTGGAAACTCATCACCATGCTTAAGAATATCCAAACCAGACTGAGAGGTCCCGTATTTATGCCACTTACACACAGAACATTTCCTGTGTTTGGAAATGGAAGCGCACTCTCTCCCTGAAGGGATTTACTGTGCTCCTAATTATGGAGATTATTAGACACTGGTTGGCAAGAGACAAGGCTTGGGAACCCCAAAGTTAGAGTACTGTTGGAGTTTAACCAGGTGAAACCTCGTAGCTTGCCATTGATAACACAGCTAGCAAACGTTCCCCTGCTTGTCCAGAAAGGATCATCCTATCTGTTATACAGCTTTGGCTTGTGGGTGACCAAGCAATGAGCAGGAAGAATCCACATGACTGGTCTACCCCTCCAAATCCTGTCAACAAGCCTGGTTGGCTGGTCTGTCATCAGCAGTGCCCTGAAGTACTGTGGACTAGCCTGGCCCAGGAATCGGACCACCAAGACCACCACAGTGTTAATTCCGACATTCTGTTACCAAGCATGTCACCTTGGAGCCAGCTCAGCTTCAAGGTGACATGCGTGGTAACAAATTCTCTCCCCCCCACAATTCTCTTGCCCCTGCACCCCCCCCCCCACCCCCGAACCCCACCTCCGCACTCCAAGGAGAATAGTCTTAAGACAACTCAGAATGTTTAGTGAGAGCAGTAAACACCAAGCAAGAACTAAATGTGTAGATGTGACCAAAGGCACAAAAGAGCTAGGATTTAAGAGAGTTTTTAAAGTTTTTGAGAGCTAGAAGAGAGATAATCTGCCAAAACAACTTCAGATTGAAGCCTTAGACTCCACATGTGGAGTGCGGGGAGTGAGGCACAAAAGGAAGACTAAACAATGAGATGGGGGGTTATGTTTGGAGTGGATTATACAGATAGGGTGAAGCAGGGCAATGGAGGAATTTGAAAATGAAAATCTTAACATTGTTTTTTAGTAGACTGAGTCATAGGAGCTTAGCAACTTGATCTGTAGATGGCTGATGAGTAAAGAGTAGAACCAGAATAAAACCATTGAAAAAATGTATCCTGAAGGATGTTAAAGGTCCCATGGATAAGCAGTTGCAATGGCAGTGAGTCAGTGGTTTAAGCTTTACTTTTTAATGCATGTATGCATTGAGATGGGTGTGTCAGCCTGGCTCCGTTTGTACCACTCTAACTCTCTGAGTCAGAAGGTTATGGGTTCAAGCCCCAAGTCTGTATTTGGAACTCATATCGTCTAAGATGAAGCTCCAATGCAGAGCTGGGGTTGTGCTGCATTGTTGGAGGTGATATCCTTCAGGTGAGACGGTAAACCAAGGTCCCACGTACCTGCACAGGTGGATGTTAAAGGTCCCATGGCACTATTTGAAAAGAGAAGGAAGTTTCTCCTGGTGTTCTGACCAACACCCAAAATAAAAATGGTCATTCACTCCATAATAATAATAATAATCCTTGCATTTGATATAGCGCTTTTCACGTCGGGAGGACGTCCCAAAGCGCTTCACAGAACACTGTAAAGTGAATTGACTGTATATTTGTGGGCGAACGCGGCAGCCAATTGCGCACAGCAATGTCCCACAAACAGTCGTAGATTGAAAATGACCAATTTATTATTGTTTTTGGTTTTGGAGGGATTATTATTAGGCTCTGTGTGGAGTAAGGAAACGTGCCCAAGGTTTCGCCCTGCCTGGAATTGAACTCAGGTCTCTGACTTGCAAAGCGAGTGCTCTAACCACTGAGCTACAGGACTCCATGGCTATTTGTGGGACATTGCTGTGTCCAAATTACCACATCTGCACACAAAACACAGTCACTACACTTTACAGCATATCCATTGAAGCGCTGAGAGATCCTCCCAATGTGAAAGATGCAAATGTGAGGATTATTATTATGTGTTACCAAAATAATACTACTACTACTAATAATAATACTTTTCATGAGGTTGTAATTATAATTATCCTTCCATTTGACTTGGTGCCTATCATATAGAAATGTCTCAAAGCCATTTATGGTGGTTACAGTTAAGTGCAGTGATCATATATGTTCAAGAACATGGCAGCTAATTTGGGCATAGCAATGTTCCACAAACAGACTTATGAAGCATACTCTAATTTCTCTCATTAAAAACTGTAAACAATGATGTAAATGAAATCTCCCAAAACACTTGCAACAAAGATAACTGAATTAAGTTGAAAAATGAGCATGAAATGTCTTGTGCCTGACCTACTTGATGGAAATGAAAAACAAGAACATCATGGAAAAAGGCAATAGTCCAATGTTCCAGTCTTCCTTTTCACACGACAAATCAAAATAACAGGTGTATATGTATAGTCATTAAAAAAAAGTAAACGTCTAGCATCCTTTCCACATGTTCCCTCTTACATATATGGTTGAAAGAGAGTTCATTGTTTAGATTATTTAGCAGATACTATCCGTAACTTGCGTCCAGACTTCCTTTGCATTAGCTACTAGGGGTATGAAATATCCATCTGATATTTCCTTACCATTTTTCTTTCTGGTCAGCCAATTGAACAACACATGTGGAAACCCATTACCATACTTAAGATTATCCAAACCAGACTGAGAATTTTAAATATACTTACACGTGGATATTTCCCTTGTTTGCAATGGTATGGGACATTGGAATAGTTTAGAATACCACCCTCCTGAAGGCACTATGTAAATGTAAATGATTGTTGTTGTTAACCCTGCAAGCTAAAGCCCTAATGGTTAGTGTGGTCCTAAATAGACAAGCAGTGAGAAGCTTGCCAGGCAATGCTCTCAAATAAAACGCTATGAGGTTTCAGCTGGTTAAAGTCCAG